GCATTTCTAAGAAGTTGCAACCATCAGCTTACCTCACCCATAAACATTTCAACACGCCTTAACTTGAGTTTAGTATTTGTCTATGTTTTTTGGGGGGTGGGGGTGGTAAATTTTACATATAATAAGATGTATAATCCTTAAGTGTACCATTAGATAAAAATGACAAGTGCATCCTGGCCAGTGTACTCAGTTGGTTGGAGCATCGTCCCATACACCGAAAGGCCGTGGGTTCATATTCTGGTATGGTTGGGGCACTTAAAGGATTCATTGGATCCATGTTTCTATCCCTTCCCCTCACTCTAAAAAAAAAAAACCACCAAAAAACAAGTGCACCTGTGACTCACATTCCTATCAAGATAAAGAATTTTTCCATTCCCCCTAGAGTTCTCTGCTGCCTTTTCTCAGTTAATACTTGCCCCTCTGTGGAACAAGGGAAGAACAACCAGTATTCCGAATTTTTTCACCACTGATTAGTTCTCCCTGTTCTGAAACTTCCTAAGTATAACCTATATATTTATACTTCAAATACATGTTGCAGATATTGATAGTTTCTTTTTGTTGCAGAGTGGTTTTCTATTACCTATATAAACATTACGGTTTATCCATTCTCATGTTGACGGATACCTGAGCTGTTTCAAATTTTGGGCTATTACAAATAAAGCTGCTATGAACATTCTTGTACAAATTCTTTTGTGGCCATAATGTTTTCGCTTCTTTTGGGTAAAAATCTAGGAGTGGAATTGCTTTGGACTAGGTGTATGTTTGGTTTTGTAATAAGCTGCCAGACTGTTTCCAAAGTGGTATATTTAATGCTTTCACTAACAACAAATGAGAGTTCCATGTCCCTTGCCACCATTTGGCGTTCTTGGTGTTTTTACTTTTAGCCATTGTAGTGGGTGTGCAATAGTATCTAATTGTGGTTTTAATTTGCATTTCCCTGATGACTAAGTGCTGTTGATCACTTCTTTCTTTGCTTATTTCCAATTCATATATTTTCCTTTAAGAAGTGTCTGATATTTTTTGCCTATTTTTAAATTAATTGTCATTTAATGTCGAGTTCCAGAAGTCTTGCATTTAAAATTTTTAAGCCCAGATGTACAAGATCATGATAGGAAAGATTTACTGCTGGACATTCGTTTAAATGTAAAAAGCCTGAAGGCTTGAGTTGAGCAAAAGCACATTTATCATTTATTTAGCAAAAGGTTATTAATACCAAATATGTACTGAGCACTAGTATTAGAGATACAGAAATAATACCCAGCCCTCATTCCAAGGAGCCCATACATTACAAGGGTAGATGGACAAAAGTAAAAAATTTTGATGTAGTGGTTTCAACGATACTTTTTAAAAATATATATTTAAAACATTTACTGAGTACCCACTATAAGGTAGGTACTATTGTAGGTACTAGAGAATAGAGACAGATAAACCAGACATGGTCCCTACTCTAATATAAAGCTTAGTTTCTGGAGTATATATGAGGGAAGATAGCACAGAGGCCATGAGGTTGATATGGTGTGTATGTGGGTCAGAAATGAAACCTGGCTGGACATATTTGTGTGACAAGATGATTAGTTAGGCAAGGGTCAGGTCTTGCAGGGCCTTGTAGACCATAGTAAGAACTTTGGATTTTATTTTGAGGTTTAGGAAGCCATTGCAGCTTTAAGCAGAGAATTAGAGAAATGGTATGGTCTGGTTTCTGTTTGGCTAATAAACACAGAGGAGG